ACAAGACCATTTTTAAACTGCTAAAAATCATTAGCACTGTGAAAGAGAGCGGCACGAATATTCTAGAAGTTTGGGTTTTTTTCCTGGCCCTGGTATCACAGTTTGCTTTTTGAATTTTTCAAAGCCCACTGCAATTTGTCTCATTTTTTCTTCCTCTGGAACTGAATGTCTTTGTTTCTTTAAACACAAATAAACTGCCTCCTACCAAAAGACACAACACAACTCTCTAAGACCACACTAATTGCAACTGAAATTTGTATTAGGTTAAAAAAAAAAAAAAATGTAGCAAACAACACAGTTATTTAACTTTGACCATAACCACAAATGTAAGACGAGGTTCTCGAAATATCAGCATATGAGCTTCAAGACAGAGAATTCTTTAGCAAGAAAACTGAAAGAAGGAAGGGAACGATCTTCTTTATGCAAAAGCCACAGTTAGTGATAACTACTGGTCAATTTTAAATAAAGCTTATTTGTTTGTTGTTTTTCCTAACCCTACCCAAAAAAGGATTTTAGAACCCTATTTTGAACTGTAGTTTCTCCTCTATTCTAGGATGATGGCCAAACTCTACAAAATAAAACCAAAGAAAATGATGATAATTATGCAACATTCAGGACAAAGAATATATTTTTTACATGATTCATTGTGCATTTATGCCCGTAATGGGATTTTAACGCATTGTAAAAATAAGTGTGCTGGCTCACTCGTCTTCTCACGCAAATGAAACGCACGGAGATGAATAACTCTGTGACGGGGTGACATTTTTTTCCCTCCAGAACTGTGAAGCCAAACCACATACAGAAATTTACAGAGAGCGACACAACCTACTGCTCCTCTTACGCAGGGAAGGTCCCAAGACCTCAGCCAGCGCAGTACCCAACAGGTAAACCACGGAACCACAGAGCCTCCGTCCAGTGGCGATCTCATGTGACGGTTCCCTTCCCATTTTGCTTGCCAAATCTCTGCAGCTCGAGAAAGCTTGGGAGGCAGTAAGGGAAGAGAAATTCTAGCCGCACAAGATTCTCAGGGAATCTTTGGGAATTATATTTCCGCTACATGTCTATAAAAGATTTGTCGGATACATGACTCTCAGAACTGTAGACGCAACATGTTCTTATCTCATTTGTTGTATACCCACACACATACTTGTTTCTTTTTGTCTCCCTGAGCCTGACATTTGGCCAGCAGGTTTTTCTCCCCCTTATTTGAAACCTCAAGCACTGAGAAAATTTGGATCTGATTATTTCCGGATCACAGGACCAGCACTTTAAAATGGATGAAATGCAAGCAAATTACCTACCAGAGCCAGAGGGGGGAAATGCTTTAAAAATAATTCATACCTTTCTATTTATTATGGATGTGCTAGCCCTCCAGTCCTCCCTGGAACAAAACAGAGGATTCCTACTTAGGTGACAATGAAACTCCAAGTAACACCACCAAAACCATCACGTCTTGCTCCCCAAGGCCACCAGCTCTTGACCCCTACACACAGACATAACTGCTTTCCTTTTTTTCCCCAAGAAAATAAAAGAGAAATAGCTTTAAAAAAAAAAAAAAAGGTATAAGATTGACTATTTTTTCTCATTTACAGGCATATTGTGGCAGCTGTTTTTCCTAATGACAGAGTTCGCACGTGTGGTGATCATCAGTCTCCTTTTTTGCTGGGATGTATCCAGCCCTGGTACATGGTGAAAAGGGCCTAGAAAGTGGCTGCAAATTAGTGACCTCATTATCTGGCTTGGACAGATGGGATCATCTGGTTAGCTACGACGTTTCCTAGACATGGCACAAGAGAGATCACCTATTTCCAAAGATTCAAGAAAGGAGGAATAGCAAAAATAAAAGGGATTTTAACTCTCTGGGAACATTCTGAAGGTTTTAGTTGCAAACAGCAGCTTTCAACCGCCTGCACACACATGCAAAAGGTACAAATAGAGCCAGAATCTAACATTTGGATCTAGAAGCCTCAGAAACTGCCATTCACTGATTGTAGCTTTGAGCAAATCACTGAACCTTCGTATGTTCATCTATAAAATGGGAGTCACTTCAGGAAGTCAAGATCTGCCCTCCGCTTTACAGACAAAAATCACTTCTCCATCTGCTCCCTCAGAAAAGCCCACAAGTCAGGCAGAGCCAGATGAGGGAATGCATGGGAACACACTCTGAAAACTGTAAAGCACCAAGCAGAGAACAAGCGTCATCGGCCATGGCCACAAAGCTGTCCGCCCTCGGGAAGCCCAGATGTTCACCTTCTTCCCTTGTCAGGACTTACAAAAGCAGCATCGGGTGTTTAATAATAAGAAAGAAAAATGCAGCATCTGGCGGTTTGGCCTGCCCAGCTGTTTGGAATCTGGATAAGCGGGACTCTGCCATAAACAGATCGTGATTCTTATTGTAAATGATGACAATGTTCATCCATGACGCTGCACCACCCCCAGCCCAGTGGCTCCCAGTCCAGATCTGGAAACACAAAGGTCCCAAGCACAGATGGATAAACTGCCAAATTGAGGGTCACATCCCTTCCCCTGCTTAAGATCTGTTCAAGGCAGAAGCCAGACCAAGTCCCTACGCAGCGGTGGCCAGAGAAGACATGAAGCAAGACGTCTACCCGTCTCCAGGCATCAGAATTAATCTCCTTCACATTCAGCATTTCAAAAGACAAATGTTCTTTGTTTCTCATTCTACTGCCTCTTCTGCCAGCATCACTGTCACGGTGTGAAACCCTGCACAAATGAAGAAAAGTGACCTCTTCTACCTTTTTTGCTTGGAAAAAAACTCATTCAGTCCTTGTTTTATTTTGCCTGTGAGGTCAGCATTATTACCTCTGATGCAAATGGAAAACTGGAGGTTGAAAACATTAAACACAGCCCATTTAGTAATCCCAAAAGTAACCAGGCACCAAGATGGCCCTTCCCCACTCTTCACGCTAATGCTGGCATCAGTCTTTCCGAGTCAGTCTTAAGGCAAACTCACCATAAATACGGGAACTCCAGGCTCAGAGGAGTAAAATTACTTCTCCTCGCATCCCACACATGGGGGCGGTGGAGGGGGTGTCTTATCGTTTCCATCCCAGCCAATAAATATGTTTCAATCAGTACTTCTGTCTGTTTCCAATAAGCCTGAGCAGTTGGAGCTCGGCACCACATTGGAAAGGTCATGTGGCCTGGCAACTATCGCGGTGTAAGAAGGCGCAGCAGGAAGGTGCCCCTTCCTTTACAGCATATTTCTGAGAGGGCTACAGAGACCTGCTAGTCTTCTCTTAGGCCACTTTCTTTGACTGAGGAACACGCCCACAGGACAAGACCCCTTATCCCAAGCCAGGTTATGCCGGAGCTCAGGCTTTCACAAGGCTGGACCTGCTAGGTGGCCTTCTAAATACCAGACATTTCTCACACCCAAGCGCCTCAGTTTCCTCATCTTGCAAATGTATGTTTAAATCCCTCCCACCAGCCTCACTGGGAGTCTGTGGGGGAAAAAACAAAAACAGTTTAGCAGGCTCCTGGAGAAAATGTAACCAGAGCCCAGCTGGAGGTATAAATGCAGGAGCTTTCTCCCATTAGTTTATCCTCTTCTACCCTTTGCAAAAACAATCCCACCATGCAGATTTCTCACTTTAGACACAGGGTGGGAGCAGATATAGATACAAGTAACAAGTTTGGAGGACTGGCAGTAGGAATATAAAACTCAACCTGCAGATGAAAGGTTCTGACCCCAGCAAGGAACAAAGGCTATCTTTGAGACAACAATCTCAGGACGCTGAGATTAGTAGCAGTGATTTTAAAAACACACTCAATGCAGGAGGATACGGATGTAATGGAGGACTGAACAGGGCCTGTGCATCAGGCCAGGGAGTGAAAGCGGCAAATGTCACTTGTAGCACTCCTGGGGAAGAGACCTTGTGCATGTATTCCTGAAACAACTCTACAGACATTTTTCTCAAACATGGTCTTTATGTCTACAGTAGAAAAGTAATACTTAAAAGAAGACAAAGATCTCTCCTACAAAGTCAAGTGTTTTCTTTTAAAAAACAAAAACAAAAACTTGTGTACATTTATTTCCTTTGACCAGGCCTGGAACTGCACAAGCTGGCTGACCTTTGCTAAGGTACAGGGCTGATGCTAAGACACTATTTCCACTTTCCTTGGAAATCACCTGGAAAGAGAACCAGGAGGTCCCAAATGATGAGACAATCAAACCTCAAAGCTTTGGTTTCTCCCAAAGAGGGGAAAAGGTAGAGCACAGACACTGTGCCTTAACGATTTCTTAAATTCCTGTTTCATTATCTGTCAGCATGAAATCTATACATAATGGCTCAATAATAGTTTACCGGATGAGATAAATGTGTTTCTGAGGATACGGTTGCCACCCTGTCTGGAGCCACCATTCCCCAGCCTCTCTGGCAGTGGACCACCCTGTAAAGTGACTTCTGCCCAAGACGCTGCTTCTGAAAAGACTACAAAAAAGCCTGTTTTTCAGTCAAGACTTAATCCAGGCTACACTTCGGAGTCAGATAATTCTCCATCCAGAATCCAGAAATCATATATAAAAATTTCTCCTTTGACAAAGGGGGAAACTGAGGTTCCAAGAGGGGTGGGGTCCTGAAAAAGGCCCATTCCGAGTTTTGTCATTTGAGGAGATTGAGTACTTCGAAGTATGCACGCGACTGCTCAGAAACTGATACCCAACACTGGAGTTGCTACTCCCCTTAACGTACAATAAAATGTTGACGTTTCAAACTTTTATCAGAAACATACAGAAGCAAAATTATGTCATTTGAGTTTTCTACTCACACTTTTCCCTAAAAACATATGTTTACTGAGTTTAAATGAGATGCTTCCTAAAGCAAGCATCATTTTATATCTGACAAGCGAATTCCATACAATTACAGAGAAATCAAGGTACTCGGGAGAAATTTTTGACGTATCCCTTCAAAGGCTTGGTGGAAGCAAACCATTCTCTCTACACCCGCGACCAGGCACGTGGGCAGGGCCGGACTCACCCTTCCCGGTGGCGGCGGCCTTGGAGGAGCCGTAGTCTCGCGGACTCCGGGGCCGCAGGAGGTCCTGGGAGCGCGGCGGGAGCACGGACAGCCGAGGGAGCAGATCCCGCTGGACCCCGTCCCCACAGCCGCCGCCACTCACGGTGACCCTGAAGGCCATGTGCGCGCCGAGGGCGGCCGGCCCGAGGCTGGGGCCGGGCGCAGCGGGGGCCTCCTTGGGCCTCTTGTCCGAAAGCACCTCGGCCACCTCGCAGTGCATGGCGCCGGGGCGGGGCACACGGCTGGGGGTCGCGCCAGGCTCCTGGGGAGTGGAGATAGCACAGGCACGTTAGAATGCGGGCGGTGGGTCTTCCTCCCGGGGACCGCCCTGGGCTGAGATCGCTGGGTTACCACCTGGTACCTACCCAGCCTTCACCCACCTGGCCCCACGCTCACGCCGCGTTCTCAGCGCCGAGCAGCGCCCGCTGGCTTCCCGCCCCCGCGCCTTGCCGCAGAGCCCCTGAGTCTTCCGCCCGAATCCGCCTCCACCGAGCCCTGCCCTCTTTGGACGAATGGCGAAACTGAGGCCTGGGCGGAGAGAGCGCCTGTTCGGCGTCCCCTAGAGGGGCAGGGCGATGGCGGCGACAGAATCCCCAGAGCGGGACTGCAGCGAGGCAGCGGGCGACCCGGAGAGGTCCCTGGCGGCGCGCTCCAAGGGCGCTCCGGGCCGGGCTGAGCGCACTCACAGCTCGGCTCACCCGCGACCCACAACCCAGTCCAGCGCAGTGGGAGGCGGGTGCTCAGCCCCGCTGCGTGGAGCCCTGACGCGCACTTCGCGACACACACATGCCCACGCGCGCCAGGGGCAACGCGCTGTCGCGAGCGCCGTTCCCCGCGCGCGGGACGCCCTGCATGCCGGCTCCCACGCAACGCGCTCCCGGCAACCGCGCACTAGCGGACGCGCGTTCCTTCAGCCGACCGGACACTGCCCACTCGAACCACCGCGCTGTCTCACGCTCTTGCGCCGCGCGCCCTTGATCTTCATCCTCTGCTCCCTAGCTAGGGCCCGGGGCCCCCAAAACTCTCCGTGTTCTCCGGCGCTCCCCTCGCGGGCCGAAAGCGCCCCCAGATTCCGGCGCCGCCGCGCCTCCCGCCTGGACGCGGGTCCCGGCGCACGCCCCTTCTCACCTCGCGGCGGGCGCAGCAGGCGCGGGGCGCGGGGATCGGTGCGCCTGCTCAGGCGCCGAAGCCCCGCAGAAGCAGCGTCCTGCGGGGCGGCACCCTGGGCGGGCCGGATCGGGCTCCAGAGAGCGGTTTAGGCCCCTGGTTCGCCGCGGACGCCCGTCCAGGCCAATCGCCGCCCGAGGGCGGGCTCCTCGCCGGCGACTGGGCGGGGCCGGGCCGCGGGTTTGACAGGCTGCGGCCGAACGGATCCCTGCGCGCCTGGCTCGCCGCCTGGGCCGCGGAGCCGCGCCGGACCCGGGGCGGCGCGGAGGTCTCCGGGACCGTGCGGACGCCGAGTGCGCCCCTGCGGCCCGGCCAGGATCCTTCCCCACTGGCCGTCGGGCTTTCTTGTGGGCCGCCTGGGAACGCAATACCTGCTAACCATCGCGGAAATGACGGGCGAATTTTCTGGCCGAATCCACCCAGCTCCCTGAAGGACGCCGGAGAGGTAGCCGCAACTCCAGGAGCGAGCCCAGGCCTCTCGGCGCATTTTCTCATGCTTTTGCTTGTGTGGTAAGTATTTTCCCGAGGAGAGTTCATGTAGTCGAGAGAGTCTCCAGAGTGCTTCTACCCAAGCCCCTCCTTCAGGGACCCCCCCCCAAAAAAAAATAGCAATGTCTTCCCCACGTGTAGGAAAGAGCCCTGGGCTAATAATAATGCTTCGTCGTGACTGGACGAAATGGCTCAGATCCCCTCTCTGAGCTTCAGTCTCCTTCTATATAAAGCAGGGGTGTTCACCCGGACCTGGCCTTTCTGCCTGGGCCACCGAAGGATCTAGCGCCCCTCACCCCGAAATGGGTTCAGCAGGTCATCTAGGGCTCTGGAGTCTACACCTCCCCAGACTACGGTGTGCTGGCCCGCCTCCTGCCATGCTGCCTTTGAGGTCTGGTCTCTTTAGCCTTGGTCTCAAATTGAAAAAGTATCTGGAACTCCATTCTACTGCACAACAAGTAGGTTCACACCACAGGATTCTGAAAGGATGAGACACTCAGAGCAGCATTCCCAGAATTTGGGGAAAACAGGATTTTAAGAATCATAAAAATTGATGCCCTATCACTTATTAAACATAATGTCTAACAAAGAGCAAATAGTAGGAAGGCCCTTGGAGTTTTGGTTAGACCCACTTCACATCCTGAGGAGAGAATGTCTGTGGCTGGCAGCAACGTGGTGGAGTGTGGCAGACCTGGCACCAGAGTGCAGGCTTCTTGACCCCAAAGCCCAGTGTTCTTCTCCTGTGCCCCTAATAAGTTCAGGCATCAACCACACAGGGCAAGCCCTACTTTAAGTATCCTGGGTCTTGCCTCAATCTGGAGATTTGGAGTTGGTAACTGTCGCTACTTTTATAGCAGAAGGGGCAGAGCAAAAAGCAGCAAAAGTAGCTCACCAACCCTCCAACAATGCCACCAGGTACCCACACCCCCTCCCACACACTCTTCTGATCTGACTGAGCTGGCTCTGCCAACAGGCCATGTGGCTTTAGTCAAATTATAACCTCTTCCCTCGTCTGTTTGCCCCTCATAAAGCAAGAAGGTTAGAGTTCTGGCCTTTCCAGTTCTATCCTTGGATGAGACCAGGAACTGAGTTCTTTGCCCTCCCTACACACACACACACACACACACACACACACACACACACACACAGTGCTGCAAATTTACCTGGAAACATTTGCTGAATGAGCCACCTAACCAATTGAACCAGCAGGCAAAAAGAATCTCCAGATTTCCAAACGCAGCAACAGTTTAGATATTCTGTACTGTAAACCAAGCCCAGGCTGTCACCTGGCACTGGGACTGTGCCTCTCCTCAGCTGGCTCACAGGGCCACCCCAGCAGGAGATGGGCTTGTGAAGCACAGCAAAGCCATGGGAAGGTTTATCTACTTACGACCTTTAGGACCAGGAACAAGAAACTGTTAACAGTCATTAGAGGGGTTGGGGAAAGCCTGCACTTTCCATTTTTATACTTTTCTACATTGTATTTTCTAACAATCTACACTACCCTTGTTCCTTTTCAACAGGAGTTATGTGAGCAGTGAGATTATGAACTATAGTTTTTCTTTTTTGGGGATTAAAATGAAACTCAAGGAGAGGGCAGCCTGGAGGGAAAAACAGTGGTCAAGACTGTGAGATGAGGGCCAGGGAGGAGACAGCTCAGCAGCTTAAGCACCTGCCTGGCAAGTGCAAAGTCTCCAGTACCACAAAAAAAAAAAAAAAAAAAAAAAAAAAGATGGACTGAGAAGCAAAAAAAAAGACTGTGATTTGGATATGTACCAAGGTGAGTGCAGTTACTATGTACCACAAACACATGCTAACAATATTTAAATATTAAAATAAAGCTCATTCATGCTTTAATTGTCAAGAACATTCATTCATTTTTTAACTGTCAAGTGCCACTTCTCGCTTTAGTGGGATCAGATTAACCTGTGTTTTGACCCAAACCCTCTTTTGTGCTGCTGTCTGCTGGACCTCTCCATTGGGACCCACCTGCCAGCAGACACCACTCTTCTTCCTTACATTGCGCCTCATTCCTGTATCCCTCCCTGGGTAAATGGCTCTGTGGCCAAAATCTAAGACCCAAACTAGGCCAGTGGCAAGCCAATAAATAACATGACTGCCACAGCAGGCTGTTATCACTGAAAGCTATAAAAGGTTAGCTATCATTGTCCAAGGCCCTCTCCCATGCTCCCATGTCTGGTTTGTCATAAATCCATTTAAAACCCCTCTCCTCTCTCTCCTCTCTGTTTCTAGTAGTCACTGCATTCCTCCTCCTTCTCTTAATTGCCCATTGTTCACATTTATCTCCCTATCTGCCTGATCTTAACTTGGAACTGCTCTGCTTAAAGATCATCAACAAAAATAAATAAAGATCACTAAAAGCTCCCAAAATCCTATGCAGGGGCTGGAGAGATGGCTCAGTAGAAAAAATGCTTGCCTGGCAAGCGCAAGGGCCTGAGTTCAATCCCCAGTTCCGAAAAAAAAAAAAAAAAAATCGAAGTGCTATGTAAGTAAAGTCAAAACATTTTCTAATGGGGCATGAAGATACCCCCCCCCTCCAAAAATCTGAGTGCCTGACTGGCAAGGACAGGGACCCAGGTTCAATCCCTGGTACTGCAAGTGGTGCTGGTCTGCTCCAAACTGGCTAAAACCAGGCACGGTGGTACACATCTATTATCCCAGTGCTGGGGAGGCTGATACAGGAGGAACACTACAAATCTGAGCTTTGTAGCAAGACCCTGTATCAGATAATTTAATAATAATAAAAAAATTGGAGGCTGGTGAGATGGCTCAGTGGTCTAAAGCACCTACTTAGAACAAGCTAAGCTAAGCAAAGCAGAGGGACCACGGTTCAATCCCCCA